TGTGACGGTAATGATTAATGTTCATGGAAGCAACAGTAGCAAGGAGGCAAGTTAATTCAGCGAAGTTATTGATTAAGAAGTTGGTGAGAGATTCAAGCAGACAAATGAGAAATATATTGGGGATGTTGTTACGTTAATATGTGAGAAGTTGAATATTGAGATCACCTCTGATGATGCAACAAATAAGATTAAGTTTTCTACAAATAATGTGTTGGGGGATGTGGACATTGAATAAAATGGGTTTGATTAAAAAGAATAGGCAGGACAATGGATTCTGATTAGGGATGAAATGGAGGGAGATGCAACGGTTCAGGAAGGTGTCAGTGTTTCAGAAGGGGGTTAGAAGGATAAGTGTATGTGCGCAAAAGAAGAAGAACAGAGTACTGAACCTGAATCATTGAGAATGTAGAAGATATGCCTTCTCATACTTTAGAGGAAATAGAAAGCGGATTTGAGTGGATGGAAAAGTTTCAAGAGGAGCGTTTTTCACGTATTGAGAGGCAAATGCAAGAACAACATGATCAATTGCAAAGTGATTTTAAACATCTGCATCAAGAATAGAAGAAACAATTGACATCATTAGGGAACGCATGCAGAGATTTCAGATGATGAGAGAACTCTCAACAGCCTCCTCCTCCTCCAGTCAAACTCCACCCCCTGCACCATGATTCTGGGGACACACTATGATGTTAATTATAATTATGTGTACTTCAAATAGTTAGCTTTATGTACGAAGATTATTTTTGCCTTTTGTTATAGTGATTGATTTCAGCGGATGTTCTTAATAAAAATTGTCTTTTGTTTAAAAATAGATATATTTTTGTTTATACATATGTGAACTACTCTATGATCATATGTATATGTAATACATCCAAATTCCATGTACAACCAGAGTTGCAATGTGACGATAATTATACTGAAAACATTCATAATAAGTTACATTAATGTTCATACATGAATTCACTATCCTACACAACCAATGACGAAAATACTAAAATAAAACACGAATAAGCATACAACTCAACTGCATTCAGTAGAATTAACCAAAACATAAAAAATTTCTACCAAATACAATTCTATAGCTCAACCTGGCAACAACATCAAACACTTCCAATGAGACATGTTATCATTTACAAACTCTGTCTAGTATGAAAATTACTTTGTCCTGCGATATTCGAACCGGACCAATGGACATCTGTCATATTTAACAACCACAATTTAGCACACGTAAGAAAACTAAGGCAATTACAATTATACAAAATAAATAACACATACCTGGGTAGTAAAACAATATTCGACAACACTTGAGTTTCCGCATCGGCCACGAAAGTACATGAAAGAAACTGTTCCTTTTGTCGCCATACCGATGATCCTTTTCCTAAAAAGTATCATAAAACATTATAATCAAGTCGTATTATTCTAAACTTCAAATAAGTAAGTAATGTTTCAAAAAAAATACTCAAATAATGTATAACTCATACCATCTTTGTTTTTGTAATTTTTCTTTTTAACCTACGTACAATTTCTTCAATCTTCGATTGCTTTCTTTTACATAGAGGATGACCTTATCTACGAGCTGCCTGTGACTAATAATTAGATTATTCCCCTCTTTCGGAGACTGTTCCATCTTGGCTAGTCAAACCGGTTGTAGAAGAGATGTTCATTTTTGTACCAAGCTCTCTCTCACTTTCCTTTTGCTCCAATTGTTCCTCATGTCAATCATAAATTGTCATCATCTTATAATCTTCCTCATTGTTGATGTCAATCCGCTAATGTCAACATTAAATTAGACAACTTATTAAAACGTTGTCCTTCAATGTTGGGCTCCACCTATTATAACTGACCTTAATTTTCGTATGACATCTATTCACATTCATCCCTAAAAACCTATATCAATCAGACCCTAAATAAAACCTACTCTAACAAACTTTACTTGGAAAATAACAGAACAGAACAACCATATAGTGGCAGGTTACAACAGTAGTACAGAACAACCAACATCATTTAACTACCCAAAAAACCAAACATCACCAAATTAAACATTAAAAAGCGGTAGCCTTCATGCCACATATATAATTAAATTGTATTCCGGAAACGTAATCCAATAGCTGGAAGAAAATCTAAGAGAAATTACAAAATGGCAGCCATCGGACTGTAACAACTCCATTGAGTATTATGAAATTAAATAAAACATGCAAGGAACTTACTGGTTTCGAAATATGGGTAGAATTTTCAGTGATATAGGCATTAAAATTAACAGTTTTACTGCTTGAAATCAAGAATAGTGAATGGGTTTTATATACCAAGTCTTTTGTCTGGTCTTTCTCACTAATCAAGAATATTAAGAGACACAGGAGAGCTCCGTATGAAATAAGAAAAATTATTATATCCAATCATTGATTCAATATCTTAGGTAATAAAAAAGATCAAATAGTTTAGCCTCTCCTTACACCCAAAAGTTTTCAAATTAAAACAGTGACCTCCCCAAGTCTGTTCAAGAAAATTAACCATTATGGAAATTCCTAACATACACTTTTCTAGATTGCCCCCCAACAAATTGAAATTTCTGATGTAGTCCTCCATTTTCTTAAATCCAAATCTCCATTCTGACGGTAATTTACACTATAGGAAAAAAAAAAATTCTTTTCCGGTGTAAAGTACTGTCGGCAGGGACTGCAGGCAAAAGAGATGGAGAAATTCGATCTCTTCTAATAAGTTAATCTTCATTAATGAAAGTCTCAATCATTTTCTGACATAAGGCTTCATAACGATGGCTAGTAAAATTGTCATGGGGTCCTCAACTCTGAAACTAAGAAAAAGACGATACTTTAGCAGTAGTGGAAGAAGACAAAGAAGCCATTAACTTTCCACAAGTGACAGACAGTTCACATGGGCAAAAACATAGGGAGCTAAACCAAGACATCATCATATAATTGAGTATTTGCATCAATCTCTAAGCATTTCAACTTTATCTCTTTTCCTAGAAGATGCATTGCCTCTTTCTTTTCTTTTTTTTTTGCTTTTTTCGACTAGACATATAATTGCATCCGCAACTAGGAACTCATAAACCATTCACATTTGGTGTGATTGTGTTACACTGATTCATCAATTCACACACAAGAGACTCCTCATCAAGGGTTCACATTACAATTTCGAGAAATTCATAATATATCCTTCTACATTGCCCACTATTTGCTCTGTTACCAAACTCAGATGGGGCTCAACACTTTCATTCTGAAACATGCAAACAAAAAATTCGAAACTGGGTTTTCACAAGAAGTGAATTAACTAAGTGGAAGTGGGTTTCAGAAATTGATGAAATTAGGGATTCAAAATTAACCGACAATGAAATTAGGGAAAATGAGATTTACATACCAAGTCCTCAGGCTCTTTCTGACTAGTGTGATAAACCCTACATTTGGTGCGAATCAACGGTGTCTTCACCCCCATTTCCAACGCTTTTCATTGTCTCTGTCTACTAAGAGACACGGGAATTTTTATAGTAGATATACATTTTCTAAAAAAGTTATGATACAATTTTTAAGCCTTAGATTAATGTTTTTTTTTTCTAAAATGTGCTAATTGTAAAAACTGTATTAAATTTCACCATCCAAAATATTTTAATCTAATAGATTAACATAATTTGCGTAATATAAATAAATAAATGGTGCCCTTAAACATGACCTGTATGTTAACTTAAATCGAATATTTAAGCTCTAGTAATCTAATCCATTAAAAACCCCATTCGTCCATACAAGAATATTTTGGTTGCTTTTAGAATTGGACTTGTCTAAACGGTTAACCACACCTACCCTAATTTTTGGTTGATTAAGATGATTATCTTTGAAATTATCTTGCTTTTATCATGTTCTCTTCACAGGAAAGTAATGGGAAAGTGTATGCCAACTAGCTCTCTCGTTCACTAGTGAGAGATTAGCTGGATGAATTAGGCCTATGGTTTGAGCCCATGTTTTAACAAGACAATCAAGGGCTAAACTAAAACATAAGATAATTGAGTGATTGACTTCCTGATAATGTTTTTAATCACATTGTTTTGTTATGGAAATGCAGATATATTCTTGTTGATGCTCTGGGTTGTGCAATGTCAAATAAAACATTATTATTCTGATAATTGATTCACTTTTTTACTTGACTTTAGAAACGAACCCTGTGTAATTAATGTGCCATGAACCCTAAAATCGAATTTTACGTTTCACTGTCACTTACTATTTGCATTAAATTTTCTACTCTTCTGCTCTTGTTTTTTTCCTGGAAGATGCTAATGCCTTTCATCCCCCTCTCTTTTATCTTTCATTCTTTCTCTCCAGTGATGGTCTTAAACGGGTTTAAGCTAATGGGCCAATGGGCTCTCACTATCTGATGGCAACTTCAATAACTAATGGGCCAATGAGCTCTCATTATTTGATTTACCAACTTTAATTTTCCGTTAAACCGTGTTTTTTAAACTCCTATTTAAACTCTTTTTAAATTTAAATTTTAGTTTTAATTTTTTTAAATATAAAAATGCATATAAGAATAAACTTAATTAAGATTCAATTATTTAAAAGAGTTTTGGAGGGCTCCAATAATACCACGCTTTTTTATTTTAATACATATTGAGTTTCATTATTAAAAATTCAAATTGAGTTTTAATTTCTAATTTTATATTCAAAGGGGTTTAAAAAATAGATTAACTTTTTTTTTATTATTATTATTATTTTCTACACACAATCATTTAACAAGAGCTATTGGCTCAATTTGTAAACAAATTTATGTTCTTTTCATATCATAGGGCATTCATTCTTCTACCAATCACAATGACTAAATCTTTATTAACTTCCATGGTTACTTACAAAATAAGGATCTCTTCTCACTTGAAGAACTTGAAGGCCTGCATAGAGTCTGCTCGTCAAAAATATTTTTTTCCATATTCATGCCATAACCGTTAATGCCTCCAACATCAAGGATTTCTTATATATTAAGAAAAAAAAAAAAAAAAGTTAAAATAGCCAAAGAAAAAGTAAAATAGTACTAGACCAAAAAAGAGTTGAGATTTTTATCATCCCTAATACATAAAATTGTTACTGCAAATAAAAATTAAAAGTTCAACGCATAAACCCAAAAAACTTATACATCACATTCAAACGCTAATAGTGATGCTATTTGGGTAACAATCTCAAAGCTGCTTCAAAATCCTCTAATTTGATCGTAAACAATTCATCACTCTCTACACAATCATCAGTTATCCTAAAATCCAAATTCCCCTTAGCATTATTTAGCATTATATCCACTAGACCTCCATTCATTTTCCTACGCTGCACTTCTGTTGTCTCTTTCTGTATTAGCTCTGCAATGGCATTTTCACTACAAGAAGAATGTAATTTGAACCCATATAACAAGTCATCCTCTGCTTGATTACTCATCTTGATATGGAGAAGATTAGCTAATTCTTCACAGCTCAAATCTTTAAACTTAAAAATGTTGGTAGCCCTTCTGCTAAAACCTTCATTAGAAGATATTACACGTTGCATTGGTTCATTGTAGCCAGCAAATATGACTAAAACTTTTCCACTTTCCATACAAGACATGATCTCTTCTAAGGCCTCTAACCCAAAGTCACGATCACATCTCTGCCCCGGGATTAGTCGATATGCTTCATCCACAAAAAGAATACCTCCCTCAGCTTCTTTGATCTGTTTATGAAATTATTTTTCTGGTTAAAATAAAATTTGTTTCTAAGATATTATGCATTTTGAAATATAAAAGGTAAAAGAGTGGATACAGGATCCATTAAATGACTATAAAAGAATTGTGTCACATCAGTTTGAAGAATTGCGTCACATAAGTTTTTATATAAGAATTTGTATATTTAGTTTGTACATTTAACATGAATTAGTCAAACACATGACATGAAAAACAAAGTGATGTACCTTTTCCCTGGTCTTTGGTCCAGTGTGACCAATATGTTCACCAACTAAATCTGCCCTTTGAACTTCTTTTACATTAGAGGTATGCAAAATTCCCACGCTATGGAGAAGTCTTCCAAGGATTCGAGCCACCATTGTCTTACCTAATATTAAAAATAAACAAATAAATAAATTGATATTTAAGAAAACAAAATATTATGTTAGGAGTAATATTAATTTGCATACACTTTTTTGTAGAAAATAATTGAGAAAGTACACAAGTTCTATTTAAAACAAACAAAAAGGACAAATCCATTTAAAGAATGTTAGACTTAACTCGAGGAAAGCTGAAGTGAGCATCAATTTTACCTGTTCCAGGATTTCCTAGAAATATCATGTGAGGAAGTCTTCTGGTGCCAACTTTCAGCAATGGCGGAGGCAGTGCAAGCCCAGGGTGAGCCACTGCCCTCCCTGGTATTTAAAAAAGAACAAGGAAAAATACAAACTATTACCTTAGGCCCTTAATACTTTATAAAATTACTAATTACCCTCAAAATAGTTAATCCCAAAAACAAGTTAAATGAAAATTTACCTAATCCAATATTTAAGCCTATAAAAAAAAATTAAATGAAATGTTAGATTGCATTTAAGTCCACCATATACAAATTTAGTTGCCCAATATAATAATTAATCCAAAAAAAAAAACTAAATAAAATTTTATATTATAAATAAGTAAAACAAATTTTATACAAACTTCATAAATTAAGGCTTTGATATAAAACAAATTCTTCATTCATTTATGAATCCTATTCAATTCAGTTTCTTTAATTTAATTTACCTTGAGAAAATAATGATTTTGTTTTTATAAGTTTCCTTATGTTAGTATCATTTCTTTTATTTGTTTCGCCATATATTAGAAAAATTATAATTGTATTGAACAAAAAGAATTTTAGTTTATCATTATGAAAAAATTTAAAATATATTATTTTTTGAATTTTGTCCCTCTCACTCAAAATCCTAGTTCTACAACTGAATTTCAGTCTATGGGCCCTGTGCCTCTCATTCAAAAGAAAGCCCTTTGCCTATTTTATTTGGATTATAGAGTCTAATGATATTTTGTTGTAATTTGGAAGATAAGAGTCTAATAGTTTTTATAAACAATAGTCCCTCAAATTTAAAAGTCTAGATGCACCGGTTCCCTCAAGGAAAGATAAAGTAAGCAATAATTTTACCTGTCCCCGGATTTCCTGGAACTTCCATGTTAGGAACTTTTCCAGTGCTTGCATTCATCATTGGTGAAGTCAATGGAGGCCTAGGGTGGGGTAGCATCCTTCCTGGGGTTTAAGGCCAAAAATAAATAAAATAAAATAAAATCACTATAAATTATTACTCCCAATCCCTCGATACTATATAAAATTATTAACTACCCAATCCAAAAGAATGCCCTTTGCAGCAATAATTTTTACCTGTTCCAGGATTTCCTGGAGATGCCATGTGAGGAAGTTTCCCAGTGCCAACATTCATCGTTGGCAAAGCCAATGGAGGCCTAGGGTGGGGTAGCACCCTTCCTGGGATTTAAAAAAAAAAAAAAATAGGTGCTCAAATCTAAAACTCTAGATGCACCAGTACCCTCAAGGAAAGATCTATAAATTAAGCAGCAATATTTTTTACCTGTTCCAGGATTTCCTTTGTGACAGTATGTGAGGAGGTCTTTGAGTGCCAACTTTCAGTCCAAGGGCCTTGCGCCTCTCATCCACAAGAAAGCTCTTTGCCCATTTCCGAAGTTGCATCTTGAGTTCATCCAGACCCACAATATTTGATAGCTCTTTATCAAGGGCATCCATCTTTTCTTTTTCCTTGCTGCATGCTTCAAGTACCTTTTTCTTTTGTTGCTCTTCTTGATGAGAGAGAAATACATCACGCAGCTTCCCACTTTCTGGGATTTTTGAAAGATGATCTAGAACGGTCATGCCCTTCTGCATTCAAAGTTACTCATATTTAGCAATAAATATATATTTATATATTATTTTAGAATATAAATTAAAATCCATACATCATCTTTAACATTATAATCAGCATTATTCTCGAGCAATGTCTTGACAATTGAACAGTCTTCAGTTCGAACTGCGTGCAAAACCGCAAGCTTTAGTGGTGTCGCTCCATACTGCATGTAAAAATGGGAAATAAATTGAATGAAAATATATCACTATCACATTTTCAGGGAAAGTGGTACAATTAAAAAACACCTCAGTTAAATCATCCTCAGAAGCACCATGAGCAAGAAGTAATCGTGCAGCTTCATTGCACCCATTCTNCCAGGATATCCTTGAAATGGGATGTGAGGAGGTCTTTCAGTGCCAACTATCAGTCCAAGGGCCTTGCGCCTCTCATCCACAAGAAAGCTCTTTGCCCATTTCCGAAGTTGCGTCTTGAGTTCATCCAGACCCACAATATTTGATAGCTCTTTATCAAGGGCATCCATCGTTTCTTTTTCCTTGCTGCATGCTTCAAGTACCTTTTTCTTTCGTTGCTCTTCTTGATGAGAGAGAAATACATCATGCAACTTTCCACTTTCTTGGATTTTTGAAAGATGATCTAGAACAGTCATGCCCTCCTGAATTCAAAGTTACTTAAATTACTGATAGTTAGCAACAAATATATCTATTTTTTATTTTATAATATATATTAAAATCCATACATCATCTTTCGCATTATAATCAGCATTATTCTCGAGCAATGTCTTGACAATTGAACAGTCTTCAGTTCGAATTGAGTGCAAAACCGAAAGTTTTAGCGGTGTCGCTCCATACTGCATGTAAAAAAGGGAAATAAATTGAATAAAAGTATATCACTATCACATTATTCAGGAAAAGTTGTTCAGAATTAAAAAAACACCTCAGTTTCAGCTTCAGCAAGAGCACCATGACCAAGAAGTAATCGTGCAGCTTCACTGCACCCATGCTTGGCCGCTAAATGCAATGGAGTTTCTCCACACTGCAAAACTCAACAGATCAATACATAACACATGTTTTTTTTCCTTCTCTTTTTTCCAAAGCAGTTATATTTTTACAAGCATATTTTTTTGGCTTTGTACTGCTTAGATTTCTCTCCGGAAAATTAATGAAATATGAAACAGATAAATTTCACTTACAATATTTTCAGCTTCAACAAGAGCACCATGAGCAACAAGTAATCGTGCAGCTTCATTGCACCCATTCTTGGCTGCTAAATGCAATGGAGTTTCTCCACACTGCAAAACTCAACAGATCAATATATATAACACATGGTTTTTCAGGGAAGATGGATTTTTTTTTCTCTCTCTCTTTTTTCTACGCAGTCATTACTAGCATCTATTTTGGCTTTATAGTGCTTAGATTTCTCTCCAGAAAATTAATAAAACATAAAACAGATAAATTTAACTTACCATAGTTTTCGCTTCCAAGTCAATTTTATCATCTCCTTTCCATTCAAGCAGAAATTTCAGTATTTCTGTCTTGTTGTTACCAGCAGAAAGATGAAGGGGTGTCTCCAACATCTGCAGTTAAACCAAAATGAATACATAAAATGGAAGATATACACACTCAAATTGGTTGTACTTAAATTAATTAATTTACAAAGAAACTTAATTTCTGTTTCCTTCTTAATTTGTCTAAAACCCTTTAAAGAACCAACTGATAAAATCTAATTCTTTCAAGTGATATGTATGCATTAATACTAAAAGAAAAAAAAATCTTACAATTGCATTTCTTTCGTTGAGAAGAGATGGATTCTCCTGAAGTAGCTTCTGAAACCCATCAACATCCCCCGACTGAACATAGTCATGAATGGTTATACGTTTCTTAGATCTTGATGATTGTTTATCCTGATCCTGACCATTCTCCATGTCTATTTGTCTTCTCTCTTAAAGATTAAGGAGATTAAAGAGAACAAAATAAAACAAAGAGAGATTTGGAATGTTCACTGAATTAATGAAACAAAGTTTCTGTTTTTCCCTTCTTATAAGCATCCATACTCGGTTATTTTGCTTTATTAATGACATAACATATTAAACGTCAGCATGGAATCTTCAATGATGTCTCGTTAGCTTTCATTTACTTTTTCCTCTCACTCTCGCCCAGAATATATAATTATATATTTGTATCCCTAATATCTAATATGTTTCTTTACTGACTTAGACTAATCTGTTTGTCATTTACTTTTTCCTCCGTCACCAATGATATATATTTATTTATTTTGCTGCTTTTTTTTTTCTTTTTTCTTTCTAAAAAGAAGCGTTTGTAGGCCAAGGTATTATAATATTGACAGCCCCACGTTCTGCAAAAGGAGCCGACCATGAGCACTGTCGTTTTTTTAGCTTATCTTACGGTTTATTTGATATAAAATTTACGCATATATATATATTTTTAAAAGAAATACAAAAGTCTTATAAAAATTATATGGCCCAAAAATTATCTTGGATTTCATGAGACCCAAACAGGTTACATCTATTATGTATGCCCAAGGTCGTGATTCAATTCCTGTTGTGCTACGTCAAAGTTCATGTCATGGGCCAGATTTATGGCCTAAACTCAACCTCTCTCCAGATTTGGGTATCATCATTAGCTCACTTACGGCCAGGCGCTTTGACCCATGATATCCTCTAAGGGTTAAAAATCACACTAAAACCCTTATACACCTACTTTCTATTTGGGTTTTATCTTAACTCATTTAGATCTTGTATATGAGGTGAATTAGAGCTCTCACCCCTACAAAGGTAAGAAAGTCAAGACCTTTCTATTTACTATAACTTTATATTATGGACTTAGAGTTCTACTAAAATTCAAAGATCCTGTGACTATTATATAAAAAGAGGTCTTGCCTCTCATTAAAGATCTATTATTCAATATCATCTACTTATAATCAAAGTTCTTACTCTTGAGAACTAGCACCTTCACTGTAGCTCTATTCTCCAATTAGACTTTGGTAAACCCTTTCTTTCCCTATCCCTCACTAAATAACCTCATTCAGTCTTATTAACTTGAGCCCCAAAGTGCCTACGACAGACACTATATCGGTGTTTTACTTAAGTTTCGCACTTGTTTTCTTTATGTGTAGGTTCAACGGATTGTCAGCCTCAATCTCAAAAGATCATACCTCATTCCATAACCATAAATTTTATTGTCTACAAAAATGAATGGTAGAAATAAATTAAAATATTTTTGAAAAAGGTTTCAGTTATAATCCTTATAATAAATATAAAATAATTAAATGATTAAAAGTCATTTAAACAAATTTTCGCTATTTTTAATCTAATAACAATTTTGAATATTCATATGGAGAATGTCATAGATGCTCTCAAAGTTTCTAAATTTATCATTCGGATAACAACTTTCACATTTTTAAAGTCAATGATAAAAAATTTATCGCTGATATTATATTGCGTTATCTAATGGATCCTCAAAATTAAAAAAAAAAAAAAAAAAAATCATGAATACTCTTTGTCTTAACTCTGTTATATTGTTATATTGTGGTTAGGTTTACAAAACATTTTTTTCTTAAATAAAAACGAAGTTACCATTTAACCCTAATACTCTCTTATAAGACTTAAGTTACCTTTTCTCTCATCTTCCACTAATGACAACCTAATAGATTTAGTGCAAAGGTGTATCCATGATAAAGTTTTCAAACTTAAAGAACCTATTTAAAAAAAAAGAGGAAAGTTATCAAACACATTTTTAAATATTAAAAATATTAAAGGCATTGATTAATTAGAAAAAAATAACTTTTTTTTTTTACTAGTATAGCAATTTCTTTTAAAATTCTATCAAGTTTCAAAACTTCCTATCACTTTACCTTTCATGCTTCTCAATAAATTTGTTTATATATGCCAGGCATTTCCTGGATCTCTGTCCAGCAAATTTTGTATTCTTTGAGCTATGTTAGAAGTATTTATGAATATCAATCTAATAAATTAATTGGAGTAGTTCAGAGTTATATGGGGGGTTTGTAGGGCAGTATAGGTTTTTATAGGGTCCAAAGTGTCAAAGGCAGTAAAATTTCGTTGTAGAAATCTGGTTTTACCAAATTTAATTTGAGGATAAACTAAAGCAAGATGAGATAACTAATTAGTTCTTTTATCTATGCAATCTGATTAGATAAGGAGTGAAGCTAGAGGTAAAAAGAAAAATTAAGAAAAAAAAGTTAAAGACTTAAACAGAAATCAGATATAGCAATAGCCATATACACATAAAAAATAATCTGATTGTGCAAACCTGTTAGACGAAAGCAGCCTCAGAACTTGTGAGCCAGAAGGCAAAAACGTCAGAAAAAGTTGACAATAAAATATTGTTTCAAACAAAACAGAATAGTCAAATAATGGCAGCTTAAAGACATTTTTAAAGAGCAATCAACATCATTTCAAAGCCCAGAAAACCAAACACCAGCCAAATTAACATTGCAGTAACCTTCATCTTACACATATCATTAACTAGTTGTCCAATTCTTGAATAGATTAGAGAACCACAGATTACAGGGCCTGGATATAAATTGCTGAAGGCAACATAAAGTAAGCATTATCCACGAAGCATTGAGCTACTTTACAAAATACCATATACAAAGTTCAGATAAGATTTGTATTGAACTCAAATATAATTATTAGGTCTTAACCTATGTGATATTTTGAGTAAAAACAGAGGGAAAACCGAAAGAAAATTCTGGAAAATACTTGTATTTTATTAAAGTTGAGTAAGTGTACAATGATGAACTCTTTTATAGAGTTTTAAGTTAAGAGTAACAGTGATTATAGCAGTAGATAAACGGCCACAAACAACCACTTTACTAACATCCCCTCTTAAACCAAGCTTGGAATTCTTTGACAACTTCTCATTTTACTTAACATGCCCTCTTAAACTAAACCATCTACTCTGCAAAAATCTGCTCATTAACTTGATTAAGTACCATTTTACTCTCAGTCAAGACAGATTATGAGGGAGCAGAATACCAGCACAACAGTACTAAACAAGCACTTCAGTCCAATTACCAAGCAGGCATTTCAGTCAAGGCAGAGTATAAGAGAGCAGAACACCAGCATAACAGCACCAAGTACTTCAGTTAAGACAAATCAGCAGAGATCAAAAAACAAATCAGTTGACCATACCTCAGATGCAAGAAAATCTCAGCACCAAAACTGAAAATTTCTTCTGTAAAACTTCTCAGCAATAGAACACAGCAGTACCAAGACTGAAAATCTCAGCACCAAAACTGAAAATTTCTTAGGTAAAACTTCTCAGCAATACAACACAGCAGTACCAACTGAAGTACCACTTTCTGTAAGACTCTCAGCATGAAAAAAAAAAAAGTACCAAAACTGACTATAATTCAGCACCAGTTTCTGTAAAATTCTCATCATTAAAACACAGCAGTACCAAGACTGACTGTAATTCAACACCAATAGTGAAGATTAAACTCATCAGAACCTATTGATCAGCTATAACTCTAGAAGTCTGGAATGTAAGCTGATCCCTTAATGTTTCAAACCTTGCTGCTGAGAGGGCTTTAGTAAAAATGTCAGCTTTTTGGTGTTCACCAGGCACATATTGAACTTTCAACTTATTGGCTGAAATTTGTTCTCTTACATAATGAGCATCTAGCTCAATGTGTTTCTTGCAAGAAAAACAGGATTGGAGGCAAAAGAGCCTGCACTTTGATTGTCACACCAGATAATGGGAATGGCAGCAAGAGATAATCCAATTTCAGAGAACAATGATTGAAACCATGCAATTTCAGTAGAACCCTGAGCAAGGGCCCTATATTCTGCTTCAGTGGAGGAAAGAACTATCACTTTCTGTTTTCGGGGGCTCTACTGAACCAGATTTGGAACTAAGAAGTGACAACATCCACTGGTGGACCTTCAGTCCTGAATATTGCTGGCCCAATCAGCATCCGTAAAGCACTCTAGAGTCAGTCTTTGTGCTTTAGTGAACTGTATGCCTTGAGTTGGAGTACCTTTAATGTACCTAAGAAGTTACTCTAGAGTCAGTCTTTGTGCTTTAGTGAACTGTATGCCATGAGTTGGATTACCTTTAATGTACCTAAGAAGTCTTTTGCATGCCTGCCAATGGAGGTGAGTGGGAGCTTTCAAAAACTGGCTTAGTTTGTTGATTGAGTAGGAGATATCAGGTCTTGATAGTGTTAAGCACTATGGGGCTCCAATTGTACTCCTATACAGGGCTGGCTTATCAAATGCTTCACTATCTTCAAATGAAAGTTTGACACCTACTGCCATGGGAGTGGAACAAGGTTTAGAGTTCATCATTCTTGTTTTTACTAAGAGATCCTTTGCATATGTCTCCTGACTCATGTGCAATCCTAGGTCAGTTCAGAGCACCTCAAAACCCAAAAAATATTTTAGAGAGCCAAGAGTTTTGAGTGCAAACTGTTTGTTTAGTTTGTGAACTACATCCATTACCGTTTCACCATTACTTCCAGTAAGAAGAATATCATCTACATACACCACAATGTAGATAACTTGCTCCTCTTTTCGATAGAGGAAGAGGCTTGAATCTGCAATAAAGTTAACAAATCCCCAACCTAGTAATGCGGTTTTTAGCTCCTCAAACCAGGCCGTAGGGGCTTAGTTTCAAACCATATAGAACCTATTAGCTTAAACTTTTAGGAACTTTTAGGTAGAATGACAACTTAACAAAATAATAAAACCAAATGTTACAAGTTCAAATCCTCACATTTCAATTGGATAAGAAAAAAATGAGTATCAAGTTCAAAATTTAAAAGTTCGAAATTTCATGTGAAAGGTCTGTCGGAGTAAAATGCCTTGATTTTACTATGGAGGGTTTCCTACCGAAGCAACAAGCTGCTACACTGAATTTGCACATTCTGCAAATTGCTATTGACAATTACAAGCAACTGCTAGATTTCACCTACAGTTGTATTTGATATCCTTTTGAAGACCTACATAGAGTCTGCTCATCAAGAATATTTTTTCTTTATCACGCCATTAATGCCTCCAACGTCAGGGATTTCTTATATATATATATGATAGTTAAAGTAAAACAGTACTAGACAAAGAAAGAGTAGAAATTTTATCATCCAAATACTTAAAATAGTTATTGCGAATACAAATTAAAAGTTCAACTGATAAACAGGCTGACTAAACATTCAAACGCGCACAAAGCAAGAAGACTTATACGTTTACACTCAAACGCTAAGAGTGATGCTATTTGGGTAAAAATCTCAAAGCTGCTTCAAAATCCTCTAATTTGATGGTAAGCAATTCATCACTCTCTACACAATCATCAGTAATCCTAAAATCCAAATTCTCCTTACCATTATTTAGCATTATATCCACTAAACCTCCATTCATTTTCATACGTTGCACTTTTGTTGTCTCTTTCTGTATTAGCTCTGCAATGGCATTTTCACTACAAGAAGAATGTAATTTGAACCCATATAACAAGTTATCCTCCGCTTGATTACTCATCTTGATATGGAGAAGATTACCTAATTCTTCACAGCTCAAATCTTTAAACTTAAAAATGTTAGTAACCCTTCTGCTGAAACCTTCATTAGAAGATATTACACGTTGCATTGGTTCATTGTAGCCAGCAAATATGACTAAAACTTTTCCACTGTCCATACACGACATGATCTCTTCTAAGGCTTCTAACCCGAAGTCACGGCCACATCTCTCCCAAGGGATTAGTCGATAAGCTTCATCCACAAAGAGAATACCTCCCTCGGCTTGTTTGATCTGTGCATGAATTTTTTTTTTTTTTTTTTTTGGTTAAAATAAGCCATACAACATAAAATATGTTTCTAAGATATTATGCATTTTGAAATATAAAAGGTAAAAGAGATGATATATGATCCATCGAATGACTATAAAAGAGTTTAGCCACATTTGTATATTAATTACCAGGAATTCATCAAACATGTGATATGAAAAGCAAAGCAGTGTACCTTTTCCCTAGTCTTTGGTCCAGTCTTACCAATATATTCACCAACTAAATCTGTCCTTTGAACTTCTTTTACAATAGGGGTACGCAAAATTCCCGCACTATGGAGTAGTCTTCCAAGGGTTCGAGCCACCATTGTCTTACCTAATATCCACCTTAAAAATACTAATAAATAATTTGGTATTTGGAAAGCAAAATATTATGTTAGGAGTAATATTAATTTGCATACGCTTTTTTTAGAAAATTTGAGAATACACAAGTTCTATTCAAAACGAGCAGAAAGGACAAATCCATTTAAAATGTTAGATTTAACTCAGGAAAGCTAAAGTAAGCAGCAATTTTACCTGTTCCAGGATTTCCTAAAATGCCATGTGAGGAAGTCTTCGTGCCAACTTTCAGCAATGGCGGAGGCAGTCCAAGCCCAGGGTGAGGCAGTGCCCTCCCTGGTTTCAAAATGAACAAGGAACAATACAAGTTCATCCCAAAAACAAGTTAAATGAAAATTTACCTAATCCAATATTAAGCCTGTAAAAAATTAATGAAATGTTAGATATTTAAGTCCACTATCAAATTTAGTTGCCCAATATAATATTAATCCAAAATAACTATAAAAAAATTTTAGATTATAAATAAAAAATTTACAAACTTCATAAATTAAGGCTTTGATATAGGACAAATTCTTCATTACGTTATGAATCCTATTCTGCTTAGTTTCTTTAATTTAATTTAATTAAGAAATAAATTTTTTTTTTTAATAAGTTTTCTTATGTTGGTATCATTTCTTTATTTGCTTCACCATGTATTAAAAAATTATAATTGTATTGAACAAAAAAAATTTTATTTAGATCATTATCAAAAAATTTAAAATATATTATTTTTGAATTTTGTCTTCTTACTTAAAATCCTAGTTGTACCACTGAATTTGAGTCTAAGGGTCCTGTGCCTCTCATTCAAAAGAATGCTCTTTGCCCATTTTATTTGGATTATAGAGTCTATAGATATTTTGTTTTAATTTTAATGATAGAGTTTTTATAAACAATAGTCCCTCAAATCTAAAAATCTAGATGCACCGGCGCCCTCAAGGAAAGATAAAGTAAGCAAAAATTTTACCTGTTATAGGATTTCCTGGAAATGCCATGTGAGGAAGTTTACCAGTGCCAAAATTCATATTTGGCGAAGCCAATGGAGGCCTAGGATAGGGTAGCACCATTCCTGGGATTTAAAACCAACCAAAAAAAAAAAAATCGTTATATTAGAACCTCAATACTTTATAAAATTATTAATTACCCCTAAAATAAATAAACCCAAAAACATGCTAAATGAAAATTTTACTAAATCCAATTTTTAATCCTAAAAACAAATTAAATGAAATGTTAGATTATGCTTAAACCCATCATCTAGAAATTTATATACCCAATCCCCCTTTCCGATTTAATATGGATTATAAAGTCTATGGATATATTTTTTTTTTTAATAAATGTTTTTAAACTCGACTCGAGACTTGACCTGGTTAAGGAGTCTCGGTTGGGAGGTCCAACCGGTCCAACCAATGGGTCGGATCGATGATGTCAGCCTAAAACCCTAGTATTAATACTACATTTACAAAGAAATTTTACAAAGATCTCCATACAAAATGATGTGGCAAAAAATGAATGAAATAGTGAATTTAATGAGTTTGACTTTTTGTTTCACTCTTTCATTCATATTTTACCACCTCATTTTGTATAGAAATCTTTGTAAGATTTCTTTATAACTATAATATTATTGTAAAATTTAGTAGACATACCTCTGAGATATTCATTAGTCCCTGTAGGTATAAAATCTTGTAAACACACCCCTACATATTTCCAATTAATAACTTCCCCAATTCAATGCACTCAAATTCAAGAACACATACCGTCCTCTTCTTCATCGTCAAAATCGTCGTCAAACTCATCGTCAAAATCATCCTCATCCATCATATCGTCTTCGTCTTTGTCTCTTTGGTGAGGCATGGCTGATAATTTGGGTGAGTTAAGAGTGAGTAGAGTTAATAAGGGTTTGGTTTGAATTGTTTGATTGAAGATTTGTGTAAAATAAAGAAGAAAGAAAAAAAAATAAAATACCCTAGGTTTGGTTGTGTTGTGGATGATGGTTGACCATCGGTGGGTGTGCTTGGCCGTAGATGGTAGGGGTTTTGTCGTGGATGTGAAGGTGATGTCGATGGTGGTGTCATGTGAGTACAACGATGTTGGAATCAACTCAAAGATGGTAGGAATTTTGGTAACCCGATTTAGCCACTAGGCCGGTTGAACCTGTGGTTCAACATTGTTTCGTCGGTTCAGCCGCATGTCAAGCTAGTCTAATGGCTGAAACCTGATTTATGGTGTCCTCGGACCGAAGAAGGGACCGATCGGACTGGCCGATCTGGTCCAGGTTTCAAAACACTGGTTTTAATTTGAATGATGGACTTTATAAGTTTTTATAAACAATAGTCCCTCATATCAAAAACTCTAGATGCGTCGGTGCCCTAAAGGAAAGGTCTAAAGATTAAGCAGCAATAATTTTTACCTGTTACAGGATTTCCTTGAAACGGTATGCGAGGAGGTCTTTCAGTTCCGACTATCAGTCCAAGGGCCTTGCGCCTCTCATCCACAAGAAAGCTCTTTGCCCATTTCCTAAGTTGCATCTTGAGTTCATCCAGACCCACAATATTTGATAGCTCTTTATCAAGGGCATCCATCTTTTCTTTTTCCTTGCTGCATGCTTCAAGTACCTTTTTCTTTCGTTGCTCTTCTTGATGAGAGAGAAATACATCACTCAACTTTCCACTTTCTTGGATTTTTGAAAGATGATCTAGAACAGTCATGCCCTCCTGCAATAAAAGTTACTTAAATTACTGATATTTAGCAATAAATATATATTTATTTATTATTTTAGAATATATATTAAAATCCATACATCATCTGTAGCATTATAATCAGCATTATTCTCGAGCAATGTCTTGACAATTGAACAGTCTTTAGTTCGAACTGAGTGCAAAACCGAAAGTTTTAATGGTGTCACTCCATACTGCATGTGAAAATGGAAAATAAATTGAATAAAAATATATCACTATCACATTTTTCAGGAAAAGTTTCACAATTAAAAAACACCTCAGTTTGAGCATCAACAAGAGCACCATGAGCAAGAAGTAATCGTGCAGTTTCATTGCACCCATTCTTGGCAGCTAAATGCAATGGAGTTTCTCCACACTGCAAAAATCAACACATCAATATATAACACATGGTTTCTCAAGTAACCTGGTTTTTCTTTTTCTCTTTTTTCTAGGCAGTCATATTTTTACTAGCATATTTTTTGGCTTTACAGTGCTTAGATTTCTCTCCGGAAAATTAATAAAATATAAAACAGATAAATTTCACTTACCATATTTTTCGCTTCCAAGTCAACTTTATCATCTCCTTTCCATTCAAGCAGAAATTTCACTATTTTTGTCTTGTTGTTACCAGCAGAAAGATGAAGGGGTGTCTCCAACATCTGCACTCAAACCAAAGTGAATACATAAATTGGAAGATAAACACACTCAGCTTTTGCAAAGAAACTTAATTTTTGTTTCCCTTTTAATTTGTCGAAAACCCTGTAAAGAACCAAGTGACAAAATCTAATTCTTTCAAGTGGATATATGTTCATTAATAAAAAAAATAATACCAAAAGAAAAAAATAATCTTACAATTGCATTTCTTTTGTTGATAAGAGATGGATCCTTTTGAAGTACCTTCTGAAACCCATTAATATCTCCCGATTGAGCACGGTCATGAATGGTTATATGTTTCCTAGATCTTGATGATTGTTTACCCTGACAATTTCCCATGTCTATTTGTCTTCTCTCTTGAAGATTAAGGAGATCAAAGAGAGACTTGGAATGTTCACTGAACTAATGAAATAAAGTTTCTTTTCTTCCCTTTTTACAAGCATCTATATGCTCATTTATTTTGCTTTACTAATGACATAACATGTTAAACGTCAGCATGGAATCTTCAATGGAGTCTCTTTAGCTTTCATTTATTCTTTCCTCTCACTCTCGCCAATAATATATTGTTTCTTTATTGGGAGAACGACATGTTCCCACCCAAGGTTTGGCGAATGACCTTTTCCACCCATTAAGTTTCAAAATGACACTTTCTTATCCTTTGTTAGGTTCTGTTATATTTTTCGTTAATATTTTATTGAAAAGACGAAAATACCCTTAAATATTTTACTTTATAAATTTTTTATTATTTTTTAATTAGCCAAAATGTCAAATATTAAAAATTCAAAAAAGAAAAAATAGTTAACCTCACTTTAAAAGTTATGAATAATGTTATAAAATTGTTTAAAGTTAAATAATCTTAATATTTATTTATAATGTTATCAATATCACATCACTATTATTTATAATATTTTTCATTTTTACTAATTAACATAAAAAAATCAATATTCCTAATTAATTAAATAAATAAAGAAAAAAATATATCTTTATACTTGGACTAATAAATAATCGAATAAAGACTTTGAATTAACTAATTTTAATTTATAATAAACTAATTAAGAAATAAATTATTTAAAGATATTTTGTTTTTTCGGTTAAATATTAACTGAAAACACTAACAAAACCTAACAAATGATAGAAAAGTGTTGATGGGTGGAAAAGTGTCATTTCATCAAACTTGGGTGGGAAAATGTTGATCTCCCTTCTTTATTCACTTAAACTAATGTGTTTTGTCATTTACTTTGCCCTTCACGCTCACCAATAATACATATTTATTTATTTTGCTGCTTTTGCTTTTTCTCTTTCTAAAACGGAGCGCTGGCATGCCACAGCCGACCTTGAGCACCATAATTTTTTATGGTTATTCACTTATTTGATATAGAATTTATGTACATTTTTTTAAACAAGAAATACAAAAATCTTATGAAAATGTGTGGTAAAAATAAACTAAGACATTTTCGAAAAAGGTTTTAGGATATAACCCTTAAAATGAATATAAAATAATAAAATAATTGAAAATCGTTTTCACAAAATTTTCCACTAATTTTAGTTTGAAAATAATTTTTGAATATTTATATGGAGAATGTCATAGACTACTCTCAAAGTTTTTGAATTTATCATTCCGGTGACAACTTTTACATTTTTAATCAAATGAACTCTATTGCGTTATCTAATGGATCACCAAAGTTAAGATTTTTTTTTTTTTATCATAGATACCCATTTGTCTTAATTCTATTATATTGTCGTCAGGTTTACAAAGATATTTTTATTTTATTTTATATAAAAAAAAGTCACCATTTAATCTATGCAATATTCTTAGTAGATAAGAAGTGAAGCTAGAGGTAAAAAGACAAATTAATAAAATAAAAAGTTAGGACGTGAAATTTAATAAGTCAAAACTTTCTTAAAGGTTCATGACCCAAGGCATCCTCCCACACCCACTCACCCAAATTGGAAGCTTCCTGATGAGCAAATAAAGTAAAATAATTACTATAATAATGTGCACTTGGTAAAAAAACAAAGTTTTAGGGTATATATATATATTTTTTATGTATTTTATGTTTTCGTTTTTTTTTTTAAATATTGAAACGCATTGAAAAAGGTGAAAATAAATGTGTGTTTAGTATGTTTGTCTAAAAATAGTATTTGAAAATGCAAAAATGAAAATACATTCACTATATTTATCTGAAAATACAAAAAATGAAATGAAAAATACAAAATTTATCACTTCTAAAACTGATAAAACCCTTTTAAATTACCACTTATTTTGTTTTGTCTTAAAGAGTTTGTTTAAAATTTGTAATTATTAATTTTTGTTTACAATATTGTGTTAAAAATCTTAATTTGATTAGAAAAATTCTTGTTTAGTAACAAATAAAATATGGAAAGAGAAATGAACTAATAATTTTTTAATCTAATACCCCAATGAAGGGTAAAAGTTGGCAATTAATCTTTTAATCTTTTAATTTATTGTTGTTTCATTGTAATGATAATAGGGGTAAAAAAAAAGATATTTAAGGGCGTTTCTGTCTTTTGACATGATTTCAACACATTTTAGTAACAAATTTTAATTTCATGGAGGTAAATTTCACTATTCTAAAAATTCTGGATTAAAAGTGTCACTCACCTCTCTCTCATTAAATATATATAGTTGGTTGGATGTATTAGACTAATGAGTTTATCACGATCTAGCTCGATCTAATATATTATATTTAATTTATTAAATGTTAAACTATTGAGTTTAGTATAATCACGTAATATGTTCAGAGAAAAACCCTCGTCATTTCATCATCTTTCTTGTTTCTTAATTGCACAGCTTTGGCTTATGCTTAAGAGTGGCGATTTTATTAAGCAGTTTTTCTCACATTGATGAAATCTTGTTTCAGTCATTGGAGATGTGAGAAGGAGAGGCCTCATGATGGGGGTAAAATTAGTAACTGACAGGAACGAAGCTGCAGTCTTGTTTAAGAAACTCTGAGGTATAATTAACTCTCCTCTTAAGAGAAGAACTCTTAATCTCTCAATTTTTCTGAACTTCATTCCGAGTAGGATCAACTGTTTGTGATAATCAATTAAGCAAACACACCACAAGAAACAAAAGCAGCCTCAGAAGGCAAAAGCATCAGGAAAACCCCAGAATAAATCTGAAGTGTTTCAAATAGAAGAGAACAACCAAATAATATCAGTTTCACCACGTTTAAGTACAACAGATAAAGCATCCGACAGTAACGATCACGTAGCTATAGCATTCATCTAACATATCTAATTAAACTGTATTCTGCCATAATAACCAGATTCCAAGGAAGAAAATCCAGAAAATAATTACAAAATGACAGCCATCCGAATGTATGTGTCCATGCCCCAAGTTACCAGCCAAATCATTTGCGCACGTGCCAGAGTCAAGCCAAGCCTGAAAGCAAACTGAATAGCATGAAAAAGGGCCACCTCAATAAGTCTGGAATAAAGAACTGCAGAGCATAGGGCATGAATATAAATTGCTGAAAGCCAGCGCGCTTAGTAGCTTCAGGGGGCAACATAAAGTAAGCCTTATCCAGAAACCATTAAAAACTATAATCCAGGACACTACCACAACTATAATTTCAAAGATTTGGCATATCCTGAAATAAGAAACCCTAGAAATGGAGTACATTTCCTCTGGAGGGTTTCCTCTGTGCTGAATTTGCACAAGCATCAGCCATCATTCTACCATTGGAGGGACATAAGGACATAACAGGGAATCTATCAACTTGTTCCAACGTACTATAATAAGCTCATGGGTTTGGACTTACATCACCTTTTCTGTAAGAAGATTTCAACCTACAAGTTTCACTCAGTGCAAATCCTATGAAATGTACTGTAAAATACAATAAAAATTTACATCAATAATATAAATAAAAACACAGTCCTATGTTATTTCTACATGTGAATAAATAATGCAAGATCATTTTCCATGCATTATGACTTGAGTTCATTGTATAATCATTTAAAAAAAATAAAAAGTCATAATCATGTGAGATTTATTAATTATGCCTCCCAATTCTGTTCTTAATTATTAATAACAATTGGACGATTTACATGGGTTATAAACCAATCTAAAAATATAGGACATGTTTAATGCTTTACCTATAAATCATATTAGAGCCCACATCGAAATAATTTAGGAATAAACATAAGCAATTATTAAAGGATAATTTTTAAAAGGTTTAACATGTCAAAAATTAAAAAAGACTTTTTTTGGTGGCAGTATGAGGAAAATTGATAGATTAAAAAACAAGATGACACCTAGTCAAGGGAACATAATGAATCTTACTTCTAATTCTATTTACCAAACATGAATTAAAACTAAAAATGCATGGCAAAGAGTAATACATAGCTGCAGATAACTAGGTTTAATAGAGTAAGAGAAGTATCCAACACTACTAAAAAGAGTTGAATAGAAGATTTAACAAGTAATGATTTCATAAAATAAATAAATTAAATTCAATGTTTGAGTCCGCTTACCTAATTGCAGAAGAAAGAATGCATAACTATGAGAATGATTCTCACTAGTTATCAGCATACACGTTAAGGCATAAAAAGTCCATATAAAACAAGGCTTGAGAAAATATATATGTAATAAGGTTTCTTCTATTTTTTTTTTATTTTTTTTTTGACATTTAATTTGATGCAACTTACTAGGGGATTGCCACTTGTTGCTTGTATAATTCTGAATGTGGGGAACATCTATCAAACGTTTCACTTAATCTCTTGTAATCATCTATTTTTCTATGTCTCGGGCAGAAACCAAGACAGCAGCTCAAACAGCCATCAACAGAGCAATTCATAGCATTCAATCTCTGGTCTCTGTCCACTCTTGCATCTCTTCTCAAATCATTATCTTTGGCGTACAACAACTTGACTCCGCACTTTTTCATCTCACGGAATTGTATGTCTTTCCTCCTTGGATGCACAACAAAAAACTGAACGTACCCCTCACTATTCAAACTGAGTGTAAACAATTCAAAGGACATGATACTGTAATCACTATTCAAATTGAGTAATTGACTTTATATTCCACTATTTGATTGCTATTTTCATTTTTTTTTCCTACAAGTTGCCTTGCCTTCTTCTGTTTTAATGTTTTCATTTTTGTTTGTATCAACAAAACATGGCCGGCCTAAAACTTTAAATACTCTCAATCATAATTCGTAAGGGTTAGGTGAGAGTCACTTAAATATTTTACTTAAACTATTCATACAATTGATCCTTATCATTAACTGATCTTCTTTAAAGATTCAATTTGCCACTCCCTCCTCCACCCACCTTGCATCCATGTTCCAGCCCATCACAATTCATATTGTCTCTATCATCTGGCGGTTACTTGATCTTTCTTCGAAAATTCAATTTGCCA